TCTAATAAGTGGATATATATATAAATTGACACTTTTATTTTGGGCGGATTTGCTTGCTTTCAGGTTGATTTACGATAACGTGTTCCATTCATTTTATGGAAATTTCATTGGTTGAAAATTTATTAGAAATAGTTTTTCGTTTTCTGGTCATATTTATTGGGCATTTTCCCAAATTTATATTGTTTTATTGAGCGAGCCACACAGGTTGAGTGTCTAGGGTTACCCTTTGACTTACCATATATGATGTATATATCTTCGATCGCTGAGCATCTCTCATAACAATCATAACCCAGGGATCTTTGATTTAAGGCTTATAATTCTTCAATTAATAAAAGTGACACAGCCTTGCCTGCGTCATAAATCTGTTGGTTTGGTTTCACACCGAAAGATAGCTGCATAAAACTTCTATCAATTTTTCCAGAGCACCCAAAAATTTGCAATTTCAATTAGTGCAACGCCCTAAAAAATCTTGGAACTATGTCACATAAATCATAGCCAACACCACCGATCTCTGTCTCTGTCAGTGTCTCTCCGGAGTGGCGTCAACTTGTTGTTCAAGTCACTTCCTGTGGCACCACCAAGAAAATGCGAAATTTAAATAAATAAATTGAGTTACCACCTCAAAAAAAAGGCGACTGTCAACAAGTTGAGCCTGGCTTTTTTTGGGGCTGTGGTGTAAAAGTAATTGCCAGTTTGGGACCAATTACGAAAATTTCACCATTAACTCAATTGTTGGTTCTGTGCACAATGTAAAATGGATTCCCGGGCATTTATCCCCATAGTTCTCCGCGGATGATTGCCCCAACGATTTCTCTATTAGCCATAACCAGGGTAAATAGGCAATTGACTTGAAATTGGCAATTATTTTGTGTCTGTTTCGGAGACAGGCAAAAGTTAAATGGTAAATAGAGAGACTCAGACAGACGTCCATATGTGAATGGTTGTCTCTGCACATTTTCCCCCCCAAACCTGGGCCTCGGTCTGGGTCCCGTGAAAAGCCCATGTGCATTATGAATGAATAATGTATGAATGAAAATTGCATGCACGTGCCCTCGAGCTATAAAATGTTGCACTCTTTGCTGTTGTTGGTTTTGTTGTTAGCGGAGTCTGCGTAGAGAAAGAACTTTTGCTAGAATTGAAGTCAGACAAGGAAATGCCAAAGTTTTTTTTTACATAAGAAACTACTATAACTATTGAAACTGTATTAGGTTAACTGAAAATAAAATAAAGATTAACATAATAATTAATACGTTAATATTATCATACAGTTCATCTAAATCAGTTTAAATAAAAACATATATGTTAATTTTTACTCTCTTTTTAGACCTAATGAAGTTTTGCTTAATATAAGAATTATACAATTTATGGTTGTTATATTTAAGTAGAAAAAACAATACTATTTCCTTTGACTTCTCAAAAAAGAACATACCTTTCAGCTTTCTTTTTAACTTGATAGCTTTTAAGATCTAAATAGTCTCCTTTGCCTTCGCCACGAAACTGATTCGAAAGAGTTCGTCAAGTTCGTCACCTCAGTCTTTTGTTTCGCAGCGCCTCCGTTGATGTCTTCATTAGCAACGTCCTACGATAAGCGTGTTTAATGCTCGAAATTTGTTTTTAATAACCCCAGACGCGGACGCTTTTTTAATTAATTGAGTGAAAGAAAGGCAAAGCCTTTTGTCACAAATCCATCGGCAGCGGCGGTAGCCCGACGATTTAAATGCAAATCCATGGCTGCCAGTGAGTGCATCGGATCGTTAAGTTGCCCAAAAAGAAATTCAATTTGGTCACTTTTGGCCCTCCAATTCTTAAGCATTGTTAGATGCAGTTATTAAATTTGACAGTTTACAGTTGGCGATAGCTTTGAAGACGGGCCGCCGCGGCTACTAAATTACTTCGAGTTGTCGCATTATCAGCAGGTTGTTTGATTTTCTGGTGCAGCGACGGCACCAGATGAAAGGCGGCGAAAAGCGGTAACAAAAACCGATTTCAATTAGCATTTTTATGGCTCTACAAATGAGCGGATAGAACAAAAATCACCGCCATTGATAGGCCCATTGATAGCACATCATAAAGCAGGCGATCATTTGTCGATCGATTCGTTGTCGTTCATCTCGTTTCATCACACTCGAAAAAAGAGAGTGGCTTAAATAGCGATTTATGTGAATTAAATTAAGGTGCCTAAAATTCCTATAAATATACTGAATAATTATTAATTTCAAATATAATTTATAACTATTTTGCTTTGGTTCAAATACACCGCGGCCTGCCCCCAGTGTCGCTTACATTATTAAATCATTTGGAATTTATGATACGTCACGCGATTTTCGAAAGACACAAAACCATCAAAGTGGCCTCCAACTGAGCCAGCTATGACAATCTTCGGGGTAATTAAGTTTTTGCCAAGTGACAAATTAATCGAGCTCAGCAATTGCCGCAATGACCGTCTGGGCCCGGACCGCCTGGCATTAATCAATGAGATGTCAATTCAACTGCGACTCGGGATGCAATTTTACTCGTTTTTTTTCGTATGTTTCCTCCGATACATCAACGTTTTTGGCCGCAAACAAATGGCAGGCGGCGAACGGGCATTCAACGGGCCAAAAGACAAGACGTCAAGCTTTTCGGTTTGGCAATAAAAGTGTAAGCATTTATCTTGTAGTTCGTTGGCGTTGACTTCGCCCCGAATCGAGGTCCGAAGTCTTTGCATTGTGCGTAGACCAAAAATAGGGTCTTACTTTTCTCTTTTTGCATTACAAAAGTATTGAGTTACCGAACGATTTGTCAACGTTTAGCTACATAGTTATAAGCCAAGAGCGGGCACCGGGATCCAAAACATTTTGTTAGCCTCGTTAAGATTTGTTGACACTCGTGTTAATGTTTTGTGTTATTTTCATTTCTGCGAGTTGTTTTTTGTTTTCCTGTATTGGCAGACCACCTGGAAAGCTACAGTTGAGGGCCAAAGATTTGTGGGAAAATATATGTAAAAATAAGAGGAAATACGTGCAATAGGAATGTACAATTCATTCACTAAACCTTAAGTGCAATCTTGCAACTATATACAGAGAAAACAATTATTTAAACATTTATTTCAATTAGTAAATCTAAAAAACAAGAATCCCATTAATAACTCTCCTATCCCATAAATGATTCCCGATCATTACAAGCTCCAATTTCCCATGAAAAACAAAACAGCCACTGAATATTACCAATCGAAAGACAATATCAAACGTTGGCCGCATTTTCTTATCGCCGTATTTATGACCAAAGCGATCCAACTTATCCGACACAGTACACCACTTAAGGGAACCTTTTATGTTTAATTTAATTATGGTAAAATCAGTTGATGCCAGGCGGCTTCATTTCATTTAATTTGATTCGATTCGATTTCTTTAACATCGCAAATCCATATAGTTATGGCTTCCAACTTTGAGTCGTGTTCCAATTTCACCTGAAAATTCGATACACTTGGCACAGGTTTTCCACAGGTCGATGGGTTCCCAATACCATGACGAATCGAGTGCCCAATGTCATGTTAAATAAAATTAATAGAGAAATTAGGCAAAGCGTTTGGGACTTGACCGGAGAGTGCGATGCTGCGGACCCGCCTTTAATTGGGTCGCATTAGTTTTGGGCCTTAAGTGGTGCATTTGTCTGGGATGCCCCTGCAATTAGTCAATTAATGAAAAACCCATTAATATGCCGGTCGATAGCCGAAAAGCTCTCGGAAATGGCAACTGCAACGGTCAACCGATCTCTGCTCTCTGTTGGCCATAAATTAATAGTCCATTATTTCTAAATTTTTGTCCACTTCAAACTGTCGTCGCCGAGTCGCCCAAAGCCAACTAACTGACTGCCTTCGTTTGCATTTTAATCTCTCGATTGGGCCACAAATTAGTCCAGGCCCGGACTTTGTGTTGACTTGCCAGTGCGGCCAATAACTTAGGCCAACGGACAGCATTTGGCTCACGTAATGCTGGAAAACGAAAGCAAAAATGCGTTTATTTTTTTTCTAAGCCATACTTTTATGTTGGAGGGGAAGAAAAGTTATGTAAATCATTTTGTGGCTGCGCACATTTTTCAAAAATTGCTTAATTTCCTTAGCATGCAAGTACACATGGGATAAAGACTCGAGGGATAGGTTAGCGAAGTGATTAAAGTTTTAAAGCAGAGTTAAGTAAAATATACAAACAATAATAATAATGTTTTCAATAAGAATAATGTTTGATGAATATCAAGATTTATTTTTATTTGCAACTCTCTATAAATTTTTTATATATTTTTAATAGCGAACATAGTGTCAAAACATATTGGAGTACTTAAAAGTAATTTGTTGTAATTTTGTGTGATATATATAATATATTTTTTAAACCATGTGTTCTTTTATATTTCGGCAATATTTTTGCTGTTTCTACAATAATATTCAAGTACAGATTTAACCGATTTCCATATCGCATAATTGCCAGCCCTGAAGTCACAGAAAGCCAAGGCAAAGTTGAGTCAAAAACCAAAAGCCAAACTTCAACTGTTTCCACCATTTTGCCAGTTGGTCAAGTGCTGGATAAAGATGAGGGGATCCAAGGGGGAGCTGCGTTGCAGCAGTCGGCAAAGAGCTTTGGGCACTTTGCGAACTCATTTTCCGACTCAATCAAATCAAATAATTTATGCCTCGCGAAATTAACTGGCCAAGTGAGTGGAGGTCATGCCACATGTGAGGAGAGTCCATGGTGCACAACTGGCAACTGGGACCCCAGAGCACAGTTAAATCTTTTGGCTGGCCATAAAGTGTGTTGATTTTTCCATTTGCCAGACCCTAAAGCGCTGTAATGCGAAATAAATAAATGTTTTTTTTTTTGTTTTTGGAGGAGAGGAGTCCGCTTGGAAAATTGCCTGCGATCGGGGAGTGTTTGAGAATGAAAATCTGCGTTGCGTTCATTTAGCCAGTGCGTCTTATTTATTTATGAGAGATATATTATATGTATATACAAAAAAAGGTAGGAAAACTATATCTAAAATATAAAAATGTGTATGTGTGTGTATGTACAATCCGGAATCCTTGAGCATTGGTTTACTCAAAATCGAACTCGAAGCCTTCCTCCTGGTACTCGTATTCGCTGTTGTCGCAGGTGACCTGGACGTACCTGTTGCCACACCACTGATGGTATTCATTGGGCGTAAAGTTGGCCCACATCAGATCGCTGAAGACTTGCAGGGGCTTTGGGTTCCTCTCCTGGTTGCGGATGCTAACCAACTTGTTCAGTTTGTCCCAGGTGCTGTGGTATCCGTTCAGAGCCAAGTGCTCCAGCTGGGTGCACTCGGCCACCATTTCCAGGAGCTGATATTCCCGCACTATCTCCCAGCCGCTGAAGCTGAGCACCTCCATCTGGTGGCAGGGAATGTGCTGGCGATCCAGGAAGAAATCGTTGTGGTACCAGTTCTCGCAGATCAAAGCCCTCAGCTTGGGCAGCTCCAGGAGCAGGCTGTGCTGCCAGCGGGAAGGAAGCTGCACCACCTCGTTGTTAAGTGCAATCCGTGTGATCGAGTCACTCTTGGCCACCACAATCTGCTGGAAGATGGTCTCCTCGTCGGCATTCAGCTGTCGGGAATCGTCATATCTTACGGCCAGCTTCTGGAGCTTGGGCAGCTGTAGAACATCGGATAACATGCACTCCACGGTGCTCAGGTTGATCTTCAGTACCTCCAGATTGGGCAGCTTGATGTCTGTGAGTCTTACGCCACTGTCGAACTGATCGGTGATGTCGAGAACCCTCAGTTGGGTCATATTTAGGCAGATATCCTGCATCCAGCGGCTGTCCAGGGGCACCGAGTGGTACAGAGAGTGGAAAACTAGCTCCTCCAGTTTCCTGAATCCTCGGATATATGCTCCCGAGATGTTCATGCAGGTCATCAGTCGCTTCAGGTTGGGCAGCATTGCCGTGAGATCCCTGATGTCATCATCGACCACGATATCAGGATTACCCGCCAATATGCAAGTGTCCACATTGGGAAACCTGGTGATATTGATGTCGCACAAATGTGTGATGTAGTCGTAGAATTCCGCAAAGGATCCCACTCCATCTTCGTGAACATGCAGCTCCGTAAAGCGACTGGCCATGTGCTCCATGAAGAAGACATAGTCCTCAATGTCCAGGAGCAATAGGAAGGCGGTATTGGGTCCCATGGTGAGGTTGAGCCGCTTCTCCCAAATCTTGAGGATCTGTGGCACAAACTGGGGATACGCCCTGGCCATTCGAACCTGATCGCTCAGATTGTCGATGGCCTCGAAGATCTGCTCGAAGAATATGATGTGCAGGTTGTCGATGTAATTCGGTTCCCGCTCCTCCACCGGTGGCAGCGTGTTGTGCTGAGCATCCAAGGCGCTCTTGTAGAAGGCGGTATTGTGCATTGACGACATGCTTGTATAATTTTTAATATTTTTTCTCTGATTGACAGAAGTAACGATGCTACCTCGATGGTTGCTGTTGGTTGAGTGTGCTATTCGAGTGTCGAGCCTATGGTTTTATGCAAATTTAGGTAGCCGATTAGGGAGTGATTCAGGTAGTTAATGGCGAAGAGGATCACATCACACATTATCCTTATCCCAGGCCCACCAAATTTCTACTAATCCTTTGCGCCAACAGCTGCGACAAGCTTACCGGTTCCTGTTACCTGGATGTGGAGGATCGTGCCCGAGATTTGCGGATCCTCATAAATCGCACTCTTGCTCCTCGCACTGCCTGCAATTTGTAAGCTAAGGAAAACCCCTATCTGTACAGTTATCGCAGAGAGTCTCGCTAGTTTGCATATTACACGAACCAAGACGTGTTCCCAGCTACCTCCACTCCCTGCCTCTGTCCAGATTCTTGGCCGGATGCGTTGGACAAAACGTGGTCAGCATTTGGTTCGCTTGAGCTTCTAGGAATTGCTAACAACAAGCAGCCACAGAGAATCGTCTCAAAAGAACAGAATGGACTCGGTGAGCTCCAACGATCTAATAATCAAAGCAGTGTCTTCTTGTCTGGCAGCTTAGCAGGCGATTAGAGGAATCACAATTGGAAGTCCAGAAGTAAGAGAAATACACATGGAATATTTTATGAGACCTAAAGTTGGAACTTTAAGAAATTTCCTTATAGTTTTCACTTTTTTCTAAGTATTTAAGAAGTAGGGAAGAATATTCTTATAAGTAAAAGGGGTCAGAGGTTGAGGTAGATCACACTAAATATTAGTTAATATATCCCGTAATAGTTTGGCTATTTGTATTTGACAAATGTATTCTGCTTAGTTCTCTACGAACTTCATACCCCAATTGAGTTTATAGACTTTTCTTTGAGTGCACCAGGAAGGTTCACACCAACTCTTGGCCAAAGCTAGACAATTTCCTCTCCGTTTCCCATTGATAATTTTGTGGATACCCCGTGGGGTTGTCAATTGTCATTGCGTTGCCTTTGTCAGGAACTAATGGTATTGTTGCCAGTTCTGTGTGTGTATGTCTATGGCCTGTCAAAGCATAAAACTGGGGAAACAGACAATGCTGACAATCTTGGCAACTTAATGTCTATATAATGCACATTTATGTTTTGGCCCGGATGGTGAAAATATTTTCATTTGTTCATAATTTTCAACAAGTGTTTGCTGTGGTACACCCCAAAAAACAAACGCATATTCATAAATTCTCAGCGTTGGGAAAATGTTGCTTCACACGAGACTTGTGACCGAGTTGAGATCTCTCTCTGATGCAAATGCACTTGTCTCTGGCTTTCAGTTTCAGGTCTTTGGTTATTCGGTTATAATATTTTTTGGTTTGTTATTTGACTGTCTTATCTGAGATCAGTGTCGATCAAGGCAGCAGACGAATTGTGAAACACGGGAGACTCGAGACTGCTTTAATAATTTTGACGTAATCACATCACAACAATCTACCATGGAGTCTGCTTTTTGGCCTTTTGACTTTTGTCTGGCTCCCAAGTGGACAGTTCTCGATATATCTCTCTCTTACTCTCCCTGTGATTTGTTCATTTAAATGAATTACAATATTTTATCTTTACGCCGAGATCGATGATGGAGCTTAAAACGTTCAGGAGCATGTAGTTCCCTCTCCTTTTTTTCAGGTAAGTGAAATCAAAAAGTTGAGAACTTTCCAAGCAGCTGCCTGGAATTCCAATAGCCATAAAATCCAAGGATCAGGCAGCTGCTGCTGCTCCTTCTGAACCAGGTAAAGCCCTTTTTGACCAAATTACTTCACACCCGGACGACAGAAGACGAACCAACACGATCGGCAAGAGTGCACTGCACGTTTTTTAATTCATTTGCTCTAAAACTTAATCAGAGACAAGAAGTCGTGATTGCGCAACTCATAACTCACACAGGCCAACTTGAACTTGGCTTCACTGGCTGCCACTTCACACTCCATTCTCCACTCTTCCTCTCGCCATTTTACATTGTTTAATTAAAAACCAAGCTGCTGCTCTGGCAACACGTAGCAAGATGATGACAACAACAGTGGAAGCAACAGCAGCAACAGTGGCAGTGCAACAACGGAAGGCTCTTCAGATGAGGGGCAGTACTTCAAGTGGCTCAAAAGGACGACACGTTTTGGCTTCTGTGTAGAGCTGTTGTTAGCTGCGGCAGTTGCAGTTGCAGTTTGCAGTTTGCAGTTTGCAGTTGCCAGTTGCAGTTGCTGTTTGCCCAACTGAAGTGAAAATGCAGTAGCAACCACAGGCAGGCCACAAGAGGCGCACCACTTGCCACAATTACCGAGTCGGGCTTTTGCAGCAAAAGTAACAACAAAATCTGCAGTCTGTCTGCGGCTGCTGCTTAATTTTCAGACAGCCTGCGATTATATTGCTCCAGAAATATACGAAAATTATCGTCAAGATGCTTCTTCAAAGGGGGTATGATGGAAGCTAAGGATAACAAGGGATTTCTTATAATATAAATACATTTTCAATACATAAAATAGAGCTAAGTTCTATAAAAGATCTTAACTATCAATATTTATATTCTACAAATGGGCTTTAGGGTTTGTAGTTGCTAAGCAGGTTCTAGAAATTCCCAGGTCTGAATTTTGTGACATTCGAAGTAGGAAAGTTTTCAGAAGTCCTTTCTTCGGTTAAAGAGAAATAAGAGACGAGATGTGATATATAATTATATGATATATATATTGACCATGAAGTTTTGTTTCTAAAATACTCTAGGGTATATGATATTCGATTTCTCAATTTTGATTTGATTTTATTTTGGATCAAGTCTTGGTGTTTATAATTCGCGAATCATGTTGCATTGTTCGGGGCGTCTGCAGCAGCTGTAGCTTCTGCTTCTGCTTCTGCTGTTGATTCCGTTTTCTGTTTCGGTGGCGATGATGAGGAGCTTCACTTTTATGGGCCCCGGAGCCCCGGATCCCAACCTGGATGGCCCGGCATGATGGGGCACATTTGGCACATGGACTTGAAACCCTTGGCTCCTGTGAGCTCGGCTCGCCTTTAACAATGACAATTGTTAGTGCCGCCAGTCCAGCACGGCCTGCGGCTGATTATTTTGACTTGATAACGAGCTAAACAATAAAAACAAGCATCAGGCCAAACAAACTGAACAGAACTGTTTTGCCAAGTCATGTTTATCAGGAGACCGGGAAACAGGACTCATCCTCATCCCCCGGGCTATGTTTGTCTGTGTGTTGTAATCAATTTGAATGCCTTTGGGGTTCTTTTTTTATTTAGTTAAATCCGAGTTTGTTTAGTCGCTTGTTTGTTGTGATTTCTTAAGTTGTTGCAATTATGTTCAGTCTGTCGCCAATGTATTCTGCATAAAAGTGAAAACAAATTGAAGAGGAGATATCCCAAACAATCGAGAAATTAACATGTTGTCAGGTGTGGAATTGGTAGCACTTTGTGTCATTTGACACTTTGAGTTGCATTTCCTTCTTCTCGGCTTAGCAGTCGTAAATTTGCGATCCATAAACCGGCCAAACAATAAGCTACTAACAATCGCTAACAAAATGTGGAACGACTATGATCTCCTTTTGTTGGAACCCCAAGGCGATTTGCATAAGAATGCAGATGGATGTTCCACTTCATTTAGTCACCAAATGTTCCTCGGTCATAAAGTAGATCCAATACTTGATGTTGCCCAAATGAACTCCAGATGAAGTGTATTGTGCCAAGCGGATATCTATTGTGTTCGATGCCGATGCCGGCCAATGGAATGAAATTTATTTAAGTGTCGTTTTACTGCAAATTGTTTTGCTTCTGAATGTCCAAACTATCGATCTGAGATCTCAATCCTAAAAGAAAAGCATTGATTGTTTTGCTTCTGAATGTCTTAAGTGGGGGATATACTATTTCAAGTCGTTATGAAGATAATTGTTTGAGTGATATAATCAAGTTTGGGACACTTGATTTGAGATATACTTTATTCTAGTAAGGAGTGTTCCGAGTTCTTCAATTTACATATTATATTTTGTATCATATCTATAAAAGCAACGCCCAGGTACTTTCCCCTTTTCCAACAGGTTCCCTGCAATCGTTCTCAATTACTCACCCACAAACTTCCCAGGGGACCGCACAGACAGTGAACTCTCTCCCCAATCCTCCTAGCTCTGGATATCTTATGTTTTCGCCTTCGTTTATCATTGTACACTTGACTTGACCTCCCGTTCCAATTCATAAATCAACAAATCATTAATTTTTCACTCCTCCGAATAAACTACACGCCCGAGTGCCTTTGGACCCCGTCTTAAAAAACCCTCAACGCGATCATAGAGAACGAATAAGATTGAGGGTAAGATGAGAACCCTTTCGCAGTGGGAAATATTGGCTCCCACAATTAATCAAAGTTGAGTTTCGAGTTTGAGGTTTGAGGCAATGAAATGGAACACGCACACCCCGGTAATTTGTTTATTGATCCATTGTGTTGAGTTGTGCCTATATATTGTATATACGAGTATAACCAAACATGCTAATTAAATGTGAGACTCTGGAGAGGGGGAGGGAGATCTTTCATCATGGAAATCCATAAGCCACTTCTGAAAATCCGTATCCTGTCGGCCTTTAAGATCGCATTCCACCGAGCGGCATGCTAAGTAAGATCGCTTATCGACGGTTCTTAATAAATATCAGTGCAAGGCGATAGCACTCACACTATTTATTATACAAACATATTGTAGATTGGCCGCTTATCGTTGCATATGATCAGTCGAGTCGATCCCTGCCGCGGACTTGCGATCCGGCCAGCGATCGAACGATCGAACGATCGACCGATCGCCGATTGATTGATAATAGCACGAGATGCTGTATTACTGTACGGCTGAAACGGGTTAGCTGAAAGGAAAAAGAGTAAACAGAAAACTCATTAACGCAATAATTAAGACGACAACAAGGTTTTTAAGATAACAGACAGCAGACAGAGACAACGACATGCTACAGGGTACACTCTTCTTTTTTTTCGGTATCAATACACTGGAAAAGTAGGAAC